CCCTTGGCCCGCGCGGCGCCAGCAGGGCGGGAACGCCACCCGCAACCCGGCGCCCCGCCCGCGTCCCGGGCCAGCAGGTCTCGGTGCCCCTCACCTGACATCTCCTCCTCGTTCTCCATCTCCTCCGCGAACAGCCGCGGCAGCTCCTCCTCGGTGCCCAGCGGGCCCCGCATGCCCAGTGCGGGGGGGGAGGGGAGGTGGGCGCCCCCCTCCCGCCGGGCGCGGTGCCAGCCTTAACCCGTGAGCTGCCGGACGGACCCGCGCGGCGGGCGAGGCGGTCTCGGCGAGAAGATGGCGGCCGCCGGCCCCCCCGCCCCCCCAAACCTCCACCCCCCCGTGTCGACCCCTCAAGCTCTCGGCCGCTTCTGCTCGCACCCGCCAAGCCCGGGCCGCTCCGCCCACCGCGCCCCGCAGCGCGAGTCCCACAGCCGGCCGAGGGTGGCGGCGGCAGCGCCCGCGGCACGGCGGCACGGCGGGGGGGGGGGGGGGGGGGGGGGGGGCGGCACACATGCCCGGATTGTGACGTCCAGTCTGGTTGCTGTGGCAACCCCATCCCATCGTTCCGCCAGCGCGACTAGTTACCAGCAGCGAACAAGTTGGGGGGACTAGTCCTGAGCAGCCTGGTGAGCGCGGGAGGGGGGTCCTGGAGCCGTCGAGGCACGAGCCGAGAAACCACGGACAGACGGACGGACGGGAAAGCTGGCTCTGGCTGCGGGGGCTCGGTGGCCCAGACGCAGGAGGAGGCGAGGCAGTGCTACCCGTGTGCGCCCCAGGCAGGGTCAGCGGTCGCCACCCTGCCAGCGAAGGCACCTGGCCCCAAGAGGCAGGGTGGTAAACCACGAGCTGCCTCGCTAGCCTTTTACACTCCGGACTCACTCCACCTCGGTTTCAGGCTACCCTTTTCAAAAAAGAAGCAGAAGAAAATGTGTTCCGCACTTAGGGACAGTGGGTGCGATTGATCCAGAAAAATCCGTCGCTTCCCCACCGCCTACGTGCCCTTTCCGAAACACTCCTTTGGGCTGTGTCCAGCTCAAACACACTCAGGTACGGTCTGTGCCCTGGACTCCCACTCAAGACACCTGTCGCCAGGCGGAAGGGTTGATGGCTGCCAGCCCCGCTTGTTAAAGGACAAGCTGGATGCCTAAGCCCCCAGGGAGCAAGACTGGAATTTTAAGTGAGTGTTTTCAGCCTGGTGCAGCCAAGTCTTACCGGCAACTTTAAGAACACAGAAGTTGCAGGGTCCAGCAGGAAGGAGGTCACCAGCTCTTCAGTCCCACAATGTCCAGGAAAGAGAGGGTCATCCTCATGCCATGCCTCTGGCCACCCACTGAAGGAGTGGACCTCACTGCTGCCGGCGAGGACAAGACCTGCCTGACCTGAGATGGTAAAAGCGGGCAGAGCATGGGCTATAACACAAATCCTCCAGCCTGGGCTGAGCACTACATATAGACCCTCAGCTTCCAGTGATCAGACCTGTCACCAGGAGGATTCCCCTCTCTTAGCCCCTTCGGAGAACCAGAAGAAGCGTGCCAGTTTAGCTGAGTGCCCCAGCATAAGACCTATGGAGGAGGTGGCTGCATGTCCTGGGCTGGCCCAAGGCAGCTGATGGGGGTAGAGGTGGAAAGAGCCCTTACCAGTTGCTAAAGCTTTCTTCTCTACACAAACAGCGAGTTGGTGAGCAGAGGCTGGTCTATCCCGCCTCCCAGGAAGGCCCTCAGACCCCCCATCTCACAGGTCACTTTTACGACACTCAGTGAACAGTGGAGGCCACCTGCACAAGGAGAAAGGACCACCCAGCAGGAAGAAGGTGGCTACGATCCAAATGGTCCCCTGGATCTAGGCTGTCCTGCCAAGGGGAGCCCCAGATTGCTGAGGCTTGAGCCTGGACCCTCCCTGGGAGGGCTTGCTCTCCAGGCCACTGGTGTCCCTGTCTGCTAAGGATCCAGGAAAAACAAAAGCAAAAACCCAAGCTCCACCAAAGAAACCCACGATCCATTACCAACCCCCTAGACCTCTCTGCTGGTAGACATTAAACCTTTTCAAAGGTCCCCTGTCCCACCTCAGAGAAACTTGTGACACATTTCACACCACCAGAAAGTCTCCCTTATCCCCACACGAGTGTGTACAGGCATGCAGACGCGCGCGCGCGCGCACACACACACACACACACACACACACCATTAACCTTTGCTCTGAATTCCCAAGGCAAAGCTGGGAAAGTCAAGACATTCAAGAACAGCCCCAACTGCTTAATTTGAAGCAAATTAGAGTCAAGATGTGAGTTGTGCACTCAGGATGCTTCCCAATTACTGCACAGGGGTGGCATTAGCTAACGACCAAAGACCCAAACTGGAATGGTAGTGAAAATCACGCCATGCGTGTGCACACATGCACGAGTGTGTGTGTGTGTGTGTGTTAACTGTAAATCTCCAGTAATTTTTAAAGGATACCCCTTATTAAACTATTAAATGTACATTTTCATGACTATGGACCCAAGATGCCTGATGTTAAAAAGCAATCTCTAACAGGCGAGCATTCCATAACCTGCAGTTGTGAGAACAGCCGACCATTAAGGTTAGTGTCAGGACTCAAGTCTCCTGTTCACTCACACGGGACCTGTAATAACACTCAATGACAAGCTATGAGACATCCTGAAATTTGAAACATAAGTGTGAAATTTTGTCTTTGAAGAATTGAAATAGCTGGTCCTCTCCTGTGTACCCAGTACTACTCCAGTCCTGCACTGTGTGAACACACCCCCAGGAACTGTCTAAAAACAGCAACTTCAACATCTCCACACCAAAGGCCACTTCCTGATTCTGGACTCTGGGGACAGTGTGACAGCCTGCACCTGCAGAGATCAGAACTGCTGGACACCTTCTCTCAGCGGGGGGACTTCACTCGGGATGGCCAGTTGTCCTGGGAGTGGAAGGTCAGTGTCGCTCTGTAGACCAAGACCTAGCTCAGATTGGACATGTTTGCCTCCAAGAGTAGACCTCTTACAGACTAGTGGGAAAAGCTAGACCTCAGAAAGAGAAGCCTTGAGCCAGGGCCCTTAAGTGGGTATGGCAGTCAGCCTGGAGCATTTGATGGGCACTTCCTGGGCTCTGGCTAGGGCTCACTAGACTAGAACATGGCTGCATGGCTATTCTTAAACATCAACAGTATTTTGGCATCATTTAAGAAGTGCACTTCAGGGGGCTGGAGAGATGGCTCAGAGGTTAAGAGCATTGCCTGCTCTTCCAAAGGTCCTGAGTTCAATTCCCAGCAACCACATGATGGCTCACAACCATCTGTAATGGGGTCTGGTGCCCTCTTCTGGCCATCAGGCATACACACAGACAGAATATTGTATACATAATAAATAAATAAATATTTAAAAAAAAAAAGTGCACTTCATCTTTTGGGTGCAGGTTAATGGACGGATGTGTGTGGAAGCCCGGGTCAATGTGGTCTTCCTCAATCAATTGCTCTCTACCTTATTTTTCTTTACATTTTTTTTTAACTTGGAGGAGGGGACACAAGAATGCCATGGTACTCATGTGGAGGCAGAGGACATCTTAAGGAAGTCAGTCCTTTCCACTACATGGGTTTCGGGATCAACTCAGTTCTCCAATGGCCAAGTGCCTTTATTTGCTGAGCCACCTTGCTAGTCCGCCCCATTTTTTAAGATTTATTTTATGTGGGTTTTGTCTCCATGCATGCAGTGCCCAGACTAGAATTACAGATAGTTGTGAGCTGCCACATGGATACTGGAAAGTGAACCCAGGTCCTTTGTAAGAGCAAGTGCTCCCAACCACTGAGCACTCTTTCCAGCTCGCCCCTTCATCTTTCCAGACAGGGTCGTACACTGAATCTGGAGCTTGCTAGTCAGCTACACTGGCTTGCCAGTTGAGTCCCAAGGATCCTCCTGTCTCTGACTTCCCAGCACTGGGATTATGGGAGCAAACCACTGCACCGAGGTTTTGTGGGTGCCCGTGCTCCTGTGGCAAACATCCCCCTCATCCGGTTAGCTGAAGCCTTGTGTAGATAGACACCCTACAACCAGTCCCTCCCCGAGCAAGCAACCTCCAGGCTAATCCACAAACCTGGACAAATCAGTCAACGGGGTTTTCTGTAATGAAATAATCACCAACCAGCCATGTCCACGAGCACTGATCACCCTCTTGTGACACTATCCCCCACTTTGGTTGCCTCTTAGAACAGACCAACAACCTCAAGTCCCTGCTGGCTTCAGCTCTTGCCAGTTCAAGGGACCACATCCCCAGGTGTCCACACTGACCTCCAGGCCCTCCTGAAATTTCCTGACTTTAAAAGGGTTTAAAGGACCCTGCGCTAGGGTCCTCACCTTCCAATAAGCTGTGCCCCACCCTGAGAGGCTCCACATCCCAGGCATTTGGTCAGAGCGGGATCTCAGCACTCAGCAAGGGACCAGCAGGGACCTGTCCATTGGACTGGCTGCTGAGGGGAGGGCGTTACAAATGCACTTCCACTCATGAGAGGCAGGGGCTATGGCACTGGAGGCTTCTCCAAGTAAACCGAGTCTAGACATGAAGCCTCCCCCGCAGATTCTTCCTGGGATACACTAGGAGCAACCCTAACCGGCAGGGAGCACGCCTGTGCCAGCATGGTTTTATGGCTTCCGTGAACTGAAGTCACAGCTTCAAACTCCAGTGTTCTGTGCCAACACTTCCGATAAGGACAGGTAGGGCACAAGGCCAGACAGACAGAAAGTAGACAGGTCTAGAAGGGGGCCTGGACACAGATGCTGTTGTAGGTTTAACAGAATTCAAGTTTACTCTTCACGGTGCCCATCAGAAAAGGGCATCTGTCTGGAAAGCGATTGTCAGTCAACTCCGACCAACCTCTTGGAGGCTGAGCTGTAGAGAGGGGAGGTAGCAGAGAGAAAGGAGACTTTTTCTCCATGCCCAACGCAACGAGCCAGTGAAGGGAAGGTTAACAGGTGTAAAGCAGAAAAAAGAAAGCAAGCCTTGCACGGTGCCAGTAGCCACGTTTAGCCACTTTAATACAAAACGTGAACATTCAAATACAGGAGCTTAGAAAGGGGCAGAAAACGCAGAGTTTCCATTTTATTACAGTTATTCTGGGACCATTTTCTAGAGGCATGTGCTAATCAACCCAGGGTTAATTTTTTTTTTTTTTACAGCCAAACTAGAAATAACCACATGGGAACATCAACACAACAAAGATCTGCAAATCCAAGTCACAAATCTAAGAATTCTAACAATGAGGGGCTGTACATTTAGGTCTAAAGAAAATGCTACCTCCTACAAGAACAGAAGAAAACCAAGACAGTCTGCTTTAAGAAATTTGCATAGAATAGAAAATGCTGGAACTTTTGCTACAAGTGAGATTGCAAAGCCTCAATATGTCAAACTCAACCCCAGAAACATGTTTCCTTGGAGGTGGAGCAGGGCCGACATCTCACGTCCAGCTGATAGACAGAACACAGGCCTCAACTGTAGCCAGCGGCCGTAATCAAGACCTTTAGACACATCAGTTATTAGAAAGCAGGGCGGTTAAGATGCTCCTACACAATTCTGCCTTCAGAGAATTACCCTAAGGAACTTCTCCAAAGTGACCCTTGACAAGGCCTTCCTCTGTCCCAGTGTCTGCTGTGCACACTGCTTGGACAGTTTGCTGTCAAAGAAATTGAACCTAGGGACTTGAGCTTGTTAGGCAAGAGCTCCACCACCAGGCTATAGCCCCAGGCTAAGACTTTTATCACTAAATCCAGTTGTGACCTTCAGTGACAGCATTTCCTGGGCAACCTCTTCTTTACAGCAAAGACCTCCAGCACTTACATTCCCTCCCTGCAAGCCTGCTGAGTCCTAGGCATCGAAGGGCTCCCCTACAGGGAACATCTGGAAGCTGTCTTCAGCACCCTCTGCTGGAAGCTAGAAAAACAGCTTGTTACATAGATTTAGACAAGCTGTGGCTTTATATATATTTTAAGTCTCACTACTAGCCCTTGCTGACCTGACTCACACCTATCCTATGGAGAGAGCACCCTAAAGGCATGGACGCCCAGCGTATTTACAAATCCTTCTATAAAGGGCAGAATAAGCAGCAGCAACACTAAAACCACCTCTTATTTCTACAAGAAGGAAAAAGGTTAGGGCTCCCAACGGTGAACAGCTTGGGAAGCTGTTTTATGGGCTGTCATTTTCCCAGGAAAGCTCCACAGACATCACCGGCTTGCTTTTAGCAAGGAGCACCACACTGTATTCTCACACTGCTGAGACAGGCGCCAGGCCTTTAAGCCTCAGTCGGCTGCCGTGTGCAGGGTCAGATGCAACAGGCTGGCCCCGCTGCACTCGGGCATTACTAATGGATAATTGTCTATATACAAACAAGCAGCAACCAGCTACAGCCCAGGCCTGTCACCTCCAATTTCCTGTCCAACCCACACTGTAGAGATACAATGATAAACCACAGGTTTTGTTCCTAAATTTTATTTATGAATTAATACAAAACATTCCAGACCAATGCGTCTTAATCCTCATCTTCCTCCTCCTCTTCATCCTGGTTAATCTGGAAGTAACGCAGCTCATAGCTCTCTTTGCTGTTGGCGACAACACGCAACCAGTCTCGGAGATTGTTCTTCTTCAAATATTTTTTGGTGAGATATTTCAAATACCTGCAGAAAAAGAACATTTAAGAACTACAGTAGACTGTGGTCTTGCATTCTGAAACATTTTAACTTCATAAAACACAATGAAAACAATTTCAGCCCTCAGAAACAAGGACAGGCCAAGGCAAGTACACCCGAGGCAGTACTCTCCCGAGACCGTCCACCATGTATCCTCAAGAGGCGGTAACAGTGAGAATGCCATTGGCACACACCAGCTGGTCCCCTAAGCAGCCAACACCTACAAAGTGGCCCGCAGTGACCACTGGAAAAGGCAGTGGTAAGTTGACAATTACACGTGTTTTAACACCTTTGCTGAGAGTCACTAACCTTCCAAGCAGCTCCAAGCAGTTCCCACATCCTTCTGCAAACCCCCCTGAGGAGGCAGAAAGGTTGTCAGGGCTATTTGCCAATGTTCTGAGTCCCCTAACTTCTTCAGTGGGATGGCCATCATCCAACACTTGGGCACAGTGAGTATTCCAGAGCTGAGACTCTTGTTATGAATTGGGTCCCTGTTACCTAAGGTGACCTCAAAAACGGCTCAAAAGACCCACCAAGCTCAGCCTGAGACTACAAGCTTATGATGTCTTGCCTCAAGTTTCTTCAGTTTTCTTCCCTGCTCTGCTGGGATCACTCACGGTGCTGCACATTCCCCACACCTGAGCTACCTCTCAGCCATACTGTGTTTCCTTTATTTGTTGCCTTGGCCTGAATTAACTTGCTGTTAAGCCGGGCCATGGTGGCACATGCCTTTAATCCCAACACTTGGAAGCAGAGACAGGTGGATCTCAGTGAGATCCAGCCTGGTCTACAAAGTGAGTTCCAGGACAGCTAGGGCTGTTACACAGAGAAAAACTGTCTTAAAAAACCAGAAGGAGAAAAGAATTAAAAAAAAAAAAAAAAAAAAACCTCAGTACTTAGGGGATCACCAGTTTCCGATCAGCCTGGGCTACATCAAACCCAGCTGCAGCCTATGTCATTGTTTTCTCAGACGCAAAACTTCAGGGTTTCAAAACTCAGAGTAAAACAGCGGCAGAGACAGGAAGAAAAGACGTCCTAGACTCTGAACACCCTCGTCATCGAGAAAGCAAAGTCAACAGGCAAGGCATTTGGAAATGGCGACAGGAAAATCCCAAGTTCAAATCCTGCCTGAGCTATACCCCAAGTTCTCATGGCGGGCCTAGGCAACTTAAGACTCTTGTCTCGAACTCAAAATGAAACAAAAAAGGGACCATGGGACAGTGGCACCAAGATGTAACTCAACGCCTATTGTGTACCAAGTCCTCAAACTCAACTCTCAGTCTCCCTAAAACAGGCTGTGGTGATCAGAATGCATATCTGAGAGACTAAAGCAGGAGTGGTTCCAGGGTAAGGCAGGCCTGAGCTACAGGAGTTCAAGGGTGTGGGGAATATCCTACCTCGTGGATAAGAAGCCTTGCCGGGCGGTGGTGGCGCACGCCTTTAATCCCAGCACTTGGGAGGCAGAGGCAGGCGGATCTCTGTGAGCCTGGTCTACAAGAGCTAGTTCCAGGACAGGCTCCAAAACCACAGAGAAACCCTGCCTCAAAAAAAAAAAAAAAAAAGCCTCCACCCCACGGGCTGCCTGCTGTGCACCGCCTGCCTCACTCAATTTCCAGACTCAGCAGGGCACACTATGAAGAGCTTCTCCAGCCCAACTACATCCCACTCTGCTAAAGCAGCACATCACCACTGTCAGAGTCAGTGTCACACCCTGCAAGGAAAGACTCCACCCAATGCCAAAGGACAGCTTACAAGAAAATCAGAATTAAAAATGAATCTCTCACCTAAGTGTGGCAGCAAGCACCTGTAAGCCCAGCTCTCAAGAGATGGGGACAAGAAGATCAGGCATCAAGGCCAATCTCAGCTACAACTGAGTTTGAGCCCAGTCTGAGCTCAAATGGTGGAGGGGGCTGTCACCACCATGATCTAACAACAAAGAATGCTAGGTGTGGTGGCACCCGCCTTTAATCCTAGCACTGGGAAGGCAGACGCTGGCCAAGTCTCTATTATAGAGACCCTGCCTCAAATAACCAACTGGAAAAAAAACTAACAAAGTCTGAGTCCCTTTTGAAGTTTGTAATGCTGTAGCCTGGAAACAAGTATGGCAATGACAAGCTAAATAAATATACTTCATAGGCCTGGAGAAGGCCCAGCAGTTAAGAGCACATACTACTCTTTCAGGACACGTTCAGAACCCAGCACCCACACCAGGCAACTCATGACCACATGTAACTCTAGCTCCAGGGCACCTGCATATACAAACACATAACTAAATATAAATCTTAAAAAAACTTCTCCAGAGGGCTGAAGAGATGGCTCAGAGGTTAAGAGCATTGCCTGCTCTTCCGAAGGTCCTGAGTTCAATTCCCAGCAACCACATGGTGGCTCACAACCATCTGTAATGAGGTCTAGTGCCCTATTCTGGCCTGCTGGCATACACACAGAACATTGTACACATAATAAATAAATATTTAAAAAAAAAAAAACTTCACCAGAGCTGGGCGGTGGTGGCGCACGCCTTTAATCCCAGCACTCGGGAGGCAGAGGCAGGTGGATCTCTCTGAGTTCTAGGCCAGCCTGGTCTACAAAAGCTAGTTCCAGGACAGGCTCCAAAACCACAGAGAAACCCTGTCTTGAAAAACTAAAAAAAAAACAAGCTTCACCAGAGGCAGAGGTGGATCTCGGCAAGTTCGAGGCCAGGCAGTGCTACACAGAAACGCTATCTCGAAAAGCTAAAACAATACATAAATTATTCTACTTGTCAGTGGCAATGCTCACACCACTCACTGCCTTTACCTTTTGGAGAAAGGCACCTCGGAGGTGACAGTGATCTTGCTCTTGCTACGTTCGATGGTCACAACCCCTCCGCCGAGATTCCCAGCTTTGCCGTTCACCTTGATTCTCTCCTGGAGGAACTGCTCCTGCAGAAAGCACCAGTGAGTGCAGTGCGCTTCCCATCTCCAGTACAGACTACTCAGACTTTCTCCCAGCACTAAACTACAGGCTCCTTTAAAATCTTCAGTCTTTCTAGGCATGTGCGTGTATGCACACATGTGCGTGTGCCATGGTGTCTGGCTATCAGAGGACCACTGTGTGGGGTCGGATCCCTAAGTGGGTTCTAAGGACCAGACTTAGGCCATGAAGCTTACAAACAAGTCCGTGAAGATGGCACTAGTCAACATAATCTCATGCAATTTGAAGATAATACTGGCACAAAATCCTTGACTGTTTCCATGCATGACGACATGTGCCCCACACGGAGAGCTTAAAGGGCAGCACACTCGTGGACAAAGGGTAAAGAGTAAGCCAGGGCAACAATGAGATCCTACCTATCTCAACATAAAAACCAAAGGGTCAAGAGTAAGCAGGAGACCAAGAGCCAAACTTTTATAGGAACATGCAAAGCTGCAAGCAACCTCTGAGCCTAAGGAGCACGAAGCACAGTTCTTAGCATTAGAGAGGGAGTCTCCACCTAGTACACAGAGAGACAAACACTGACACAAACAGTTACAGACCTGCCTGGAGTCACCTGCATGGTACAGCAGAAGCGGCAGGGACCCGTGAGCCCAGACATACTCTGCAAAGCACCATGTGACCAGGGCAAGCCATTCACCTCAGGCTTCAGGGACCTCCGTCCAAAAGGGACTTTTTTGTTTTGTTCTGTTGCCACTGCAATGAGATGAAGTCCCTTTCAGCTCGACACTACAATTTTTAGGGACCGAAGATGTGAGATGTGGCTCAATGACAGCTAAGAATGCCCACTTAGCTCGTCTGAGGTCCTGAGTTAAATTCTGGGACAAGTATTTAAAACTGCGACACAGAACTAACTGTTAGCTGCTGCGGTGGGCAGGACCAGAAAACAGGTCTTCTAAAGGAAGTCCTTAGCAGAGTCCTTCTAAAGAGAGTCCTTAGAGAGTCGGAAGGGAATGGTGTGCTGAAGGCCACAGTGGTGACACCAGGCAGGGCCAACAGAGAAATGCCAAACAGAAGTCACCAAGGACTGCAGAGACTTCCACTCTTCAGAGGACCTGAGTTCGTTTCCCAGCACCCACGAGGCAGTGTATAACCATCCCTAACTTCAATTCCAGGGGATCTGACCCGCTCTGACTTCCAAGGGCATAGGGCATACACATGGTACACAGACATATATGTAGGCAAAACACTCACACATTAAAAAAAAAAATTTTTTTTATAGGGTCTTTCGTTGTCCTGCAACTCAGTATATAGACCACGCTGGCCTCGAAGTCAGAGATCCACCTGCTTCCACCTCCCAAAAACTGGGGTAAAAGCAACTGCCACCACGTATAGCAATCAATCAATCAATCAATCAATAATTGCTTTTTAATGAAGAAAAACAGAAATCAGCCAGGTAGTGGTGGCTCACGCCTTTAATCCCAGCACCCAGGAGGCAGAGGCAGGTGGATCTCTGATTTTTTAGGCCAGCCTGGTCTACAGAGCGAGTTCTAGGACAGGCTCCAAAGCTACAGAGAAACTCTGTCTCCAAAAACAAAAAAAAAAAAAATTGAATATCTTTTTTAAGGAAGGAGAAAAAAAAAAAAAAAGAAACTGCCAAGTCAGGCGTGGTGGCCTACACTTTTAATCCCAGCACCCAAGAAGCAGAAACAGGTGGGTTTCTGGGAGTTTGAGGCCAGTCTGGTCTACAAAGTGAGTTCCAGGACAGCTAGGGCGGTTACACAGACAAAACCCATCTCAAAAAAACAAAAAGGAAAGAAAAAAGAACCCACCAACATGCAAAGGACCAAAGCCATGGAGAAGTCACTGGATAAAGGACACGGGCCAACTGAGGCCCATCTGAGGCAGACGTCCCCACAAGGTTAATTCCATTTGCACCACTAATGGCTGTTAAGTTTAATTTTCAATTTTTTGGAAATGATTGTTCTTGACAACACTTAACCTTCTGGAATGTGAAAAACAGATGTAACTTTAGGAGATGTCTACATACAAAGGCCCCAGTCCCAAGAGCCAAAATTGGGCTGCAGAGACAATTCTAGATTAAGGGGAACATAGGGATACTGGGAATAGGGCAAAAAGTCAGGACAGGGCTGGAGATGACTGGTTCCCAGCACCAACATACATCGGCCTCTAACTCTGGTTCCAGAGAATTCAATGCCTTGGCCCTGCTCTGTCCCCGAGGGCACTGCACACACATGGTGCAGACATACATGCAGCAAACATGATACATAAAATTTAAACAGGAGGGAACCTCAGGACAGCACCAAGTCTGTATTTAAAAAAAAGAAAAAAGCCCCAAAGACAGCCCAGCAAGCAGATTAAAGCAAACACACTCAGGCCTCAATGCTGTGGTGGACTGCTGCGCTTCACCTAAGGATCCAGAGGCCCAGGATGAAGTTGCCCATACAGATTAAACCCAACAAAGTACAGCAGCAATGATGGGCCCACGGAGTTTACCTGATTCTGGGTAAGATCTTCTGTCACCCACACGCCACGGCCTGTCTATTCTTATCTCATTTAGGGACAGAAGTGGGACTGCCTACAAGCCCAACGAAGACCTATTCCAAGAGGGTCCCAACCGTATTCCCAGTCCAGAGGAGCAACAGAATATCACTTACGAAATTAGCAGCGTCCATGATCCCATCTTCTACAGGGTGGGTGCAATCAAGGGTGAACTTCAAAACCTGCTTCTTTTTTTTGCCCCCCTTCGCCACAAGCTTTTTCTAAGGGTACAGAGAAAACACAGGTGAAGCCTCCGGTAGCACTTCCCACAATTTAAACAAAGCATGTCAGAGGCATCAAAGTCCTTTACAAACAGTAAACCAAGGAGATGAGGGGTCGGTTTCCTTCAAGAGTGCCATGTTTTACATGCTAAGGGAAGAGGGGGAATCATTAACACTCCTGTCCCCTTCAATCTCTCCAGACACCCCAATCTTTACAACCATGAGTGTTTCCCAAAGAAATACTCCTTTACACACCTGTAACACAAGCATACATGCGCCTTACACACTCAGATTACAGCACTTCACCTTGGTCCTTAGCGCCTAATCCCTGGACCTTCTCAGGAATAGCCAAGGAACTTGACAAATGGTTCAAGGTGTGGCCAACGATTTCCCCTGGCTGAACCAGTGAATTCAGCACTTCCAAACTACACCCAAGAGGGTCCAGTTTACTTTTACAAAGTAACACTCGTCAACCGTCTCTACAGACATTGTAACTTCTAAGAACTCACCTGAATCTCTACTAGTAAAAGGTTAGCAGGTCACGCACGGCACACTCTCCCTTCGGGTTCAAGAGACCGTACACAACTGGCACTCAACTTTCCAGTGACTACAAAATTGCTACATTCAATGTATCTTCCCACTACCAACCAAAATGACTGCTTTTAAATCTAGCTCCGGGAAAGGACGGATCAGTAAGAGGACCTGCCCACAAGAGACCCCAAAAGTTCCCAACAGGAGTCTAACCCAAAACCACATCGATGTACTGAAGCCGAGGTAGAAAGACTAAGACAACCGGAAATACACCTAAGAGCCCCAACTAAAAGATAATACACCACCTAAAACCATTATTGTTTAAGTAGAGCGACCTCCAGATAGAGCCTGACATAAAGACACCGCACAGCCCATCCCTCAGACAAGAGAACGAAATCGGGTCTTCGTCGCCCAACACAGAAAGGGCCTGTATACAGCTGCACTCTAATGCAAGCAGCTTGCTCGAGGGGTGCTACAAAAATCCTTCTCAAGCCCAACCGCGGCTCTGAAACCCGGTCGCCCCATGGAGGGCCATTTCCACCCGGCTGCACAGGGTCACATCCGTCTTGCCGGCCCCTCGCTCAAATAGCCGGGCGCGGGCCCGGAGCCCAAGGCTGGGTCTCGAGGTCGGTCGGTATCCAGCCCGCAAGCCCCGAGCAGGATCCGATCCGCCACCCCGAGCAGTCCCGGCTCTCCCCACCGCCCCGATCCGCGGCCTCCTCCGCCCACAACGTGCTGGGCCCGGCCGAAGCCCCGGTCTCCTGCGCCCCGCCTGCCAGGCCATCCCAGCCTGACGCTGCAGGGCGCAGTCCCCCACGCCGTCCTGAGCCCGAGCCAGCCCACCAGGCCCACGTGCCGATCCGGCAGCCGCGGCCTCACGCGGAGCCATACTAACCACGGGCGCCATGGCGGCAGAGGAGGCAGAAAGGGAGGGGGGCGCACTACGCAGGCGCGAAGAGCCCGCTGCGCGCGGAGCACGCAAGAAGCCAGGCAGCCTTAATCGATCGGCACTGCCGCTAGATCGCCGCGGCCCAGCCGCGCAGGGGCGATCGGGCAGCTATTGGTTTTCCCGGGGCAGGGTCGGCAGCCGGGAAAGGAAGGAGTCCAGATGGACCGTCCCACTGCAACTACCGGAGGGGAACCAGGCGAGCCCAAAGAGAGAGAAAGGGGAGAGCTCTACTTTTAAAAGTCTTGAAAGATTAAGACAAACGTTCCCTAAACAGGCAATTACCAGCTGGCCAGATGACAATCTAACGCAGTTACTTGAGGAGATTGGGGCTATCTCTTTTTGATCACAGAGAAAATTAGAATTCCCAATGTCCGCCAGGCCGGGTACCTCACTCCCCTGAGCCCACCACTCTGGAGGCAGAGGCAGGAGGATGCCGCAGGAGCGTAGCTAGTTTGAAGCCAGTTTGGGCTACACTATCGAGTTCCAGGCCTACCAAGGTACACAGTCAAACCCTTAAGAAAGAAAAAGTTCCAGGACTATATTTCTTCATCCTAAAGAAAACGCCCAGCTTGGAAGTTCATGACACCCACGTGACTAGCCTGCCTTCTGCGGCTAGCAGCACGCTCCAGCTTGATCCCACAGATTTCAGTCTGGCGCCCTCTGCCTTCTAGCTCCCCAGTTCCCAAAGCCTTCCCCAGCTTTCCAGGACCACCCAGATCCGGTCGGTGCAGGGTCCTGTTTAGCCGCTCTCAGCCCCCAGCTCACCAGCCTCACGCAGCGAAGTGAGGGTTTTAATCCGTCGCTAGACAGCTCGTTGGCATGGCGTCTTGTTTTCATCGGGAGTTTCCTCTGGGATCCCGAGTTGTGATCACTGCACAATCCAGTTCTGTCTCCTGGAATTCCTTAAAAGCACCGTCTTGACTTAATAATCTTTGGAGGAAACACACCATGCTGATTGGTGTGTTTAAAGTCAGTGTCTGAAGTCAGCTACTCAGGCTTCAAAGCCGCCTGCAGTTTTCTTTCCTATTTGGTTTGATTATCCTAGTCTTTTGTTTGGTGTGTTAAGACAGAGCCTTATTCCTTATCATTCTATAGTCCAGGCTGGCCTGGGAAGCACTGTGTCCTCCAAGCTGGCCTTTGACTCAGCAATCCTGCCTTGTTCTCCCAAATTCTGAGATTACAGGGGTGAACCAACATACCAGGGGCAGCTTGTTGCTCTTGCCTTTGCAATGCTGAAGCTGGGCTCTGCAAATCTTTCTGCTTTGGCACCCACACCCAGGTAAGTCCTATAAGAAGTGACTTTGAAGCCGGGCGGTGGTGGCGCACGCTTTTAATCCCAGCACTCGGGAGGCAGAGGCAGGCGGATCTCTGTGAGTTCGAGGCCAGCCTGGTCTCCATGCCTGTTGCTGTTACCGGCTCTTGCTTCTGTCGCTGGCAGAAGAACATATATTCCAGAACAGTTATAAATCCAGTCCAACACATCTGTAGACCCCAGCACCGTGTTGTGATGTGTGTGTGCATGCGTGCATATATGCATATGTATGTGTGTGTGTGTGTGTACATGCTACAGTGTACATCTGGGGGTCAGAGGACAACTTACAGAAGTCAGTCCTCTACTTCCCAAGAAGTCATATTGTCAGATTTGGGGCAAGGGAAAACTTTTAAAAATAAAATTTATTATTTTTAGTGGGGGAGGCATACCACACTCTTGTGTGGAGGTAGAGAACAAACTTTGGGATTCTCACCTCCCATTGTGTGGGTCCTGGGGATCAAACTTGGGTTGTCAGGCTCTAAAACAACCATCTTTCCTCTCTGCACCATCTGAGCCAAAAAAAAAAAAAAAAACACACACAACAACTAAACAAACCCCTTAAGTCTTCAGTTAAAAAAAAAAAAAAACAGACAAAAGCTGGGCATGGTGGTTTACACCTTGCCATAGGAAGTGTTACAGCTTGTATTAGCCTGCCTACTGGGGCGTGGCCTCTCTTACTATTTACAGGGAAGCTGAGCGTGCCTGGGCCCCTTCTCTCTCAGTCCCCTTGCTCCATTGGGTCGCGTGATTCAACCTGTCAAGCGGAGAATTCTGATTTGTGCCTTAATAAATGCCTATGTATTTCTTTTTTTTTTTAATATTTATTTATTTATTATGTATACAATATTCTGTCTGTGTGTATGTCTGCAGGCCAGAAGAGGGCACCAGACCTCATTCCAGATGGTTGTGAGCCACCATGTGGTTGCCGGGAATTGAACTCAGGACCTTTGGAAGAGCAGGCAATGCTCTTAACCACTGAGCCATCTCTCCAGCCCCGCCTATGTATTTCTTATTTCTGAGCTAGTGTGGGATTTCTTTTAAGCATCCGACCGCCATAACTTCCGGTACAATACCTGTGGTCTAAGCACTCGGGAGGCAGAGGCAGGCGGATCTCTGGGAGTTCGAGACCAGCCTGGTCTACAAGAGCTAGTTCCAGGACAGGAACCAAAACCACAGAGAAACCCTGTCTCGAAAATAAAAAAAAAAAAAAAAACAGCAGCAAGTTAAATGAACCTGTCTGCCTGGGGTGTCTGAGCCGTCAGTCACCTGGGAGAGGTCAGCAATTCGCTCATCGGTATTTTGAGACAAGGTCTCACTCTGTAGCTCTGTAGCCCTGTCTAGCCTCAAACTCACACTAATCCAGCTTCCTTTGCCCACAAGTGCTGACTGAGGAAGACCTGTGCTACCATGGCTGGGAAAATTAGCAAAAAAAAAAAAAAATTTATTTGTCTGTTTCCCTCTGCACAGCAGTTTCTCTAGGATTCTCCAGATGCAGCCTTTGAAGGAAGTGTGGTTTGTTAAGGAGAAGTTTGCCATCTGGGAGGAAGCCTGGGAGGGAGCGGCGGACTCTCCTGAGGCCGACTGTCCAGGGCTTGTTTCACTCTACCTTGTCCTTGCTTCTCTGAAAACACAGGAAGCGGAAGGGAAGAGGGCCAGCCTCCTGACTTTCCTTGCCTGGTGGTGGCACGGGTGGACCTCCCAAGCCAGCTCCAGTGCCCTCATTGGAGGGGATACCAGCGAGGTGTCTAGGCGACAGGAAAGCCCCACCTCTCCAGCAGCCCCCACGCCGGGATAAAAAGCCCTGCAAGAACTTCTGGAAAACCTTCTCCTCTTGCAAATAACCCCGCCCTGGCCACCCCTGGAAATGCATCCATAGTCTGAATAAAGAGTGTCGGGCAGCATGGAGCTTTCCTAGGCCATGTGAAAATTACTAAATTTCAGTAATGGCCACTACAAATATTGGTGAAATAAGAAACCCATAGGGAACCCTCCAACTCAAAATTTGGTGGTGCTTGCCAGAGTGTATCCAGCAGGACCACTGGGCTTCCGTCCTAGTGCTGGGAGAGAGGGCTTCTCTTCTCTCAATTGAAAACAGCTAAAATTGTGTGTGTGTGTGTGTGTGTGTGTGTGTGTGTGTGTGTGTGTGTGTATACAGCACACAATTTTTTCAACAAGGTCTGTGTAAGCTCAGGCTAACTTCAAACTTCCAGTGTAGCCAAGAATGACCTTGAAATGACCCTACTGCCTCTACTCCTCAAGGGCTCAAGGTAGCATTTTTAAGAGTTCCAAACAGCACCTTCAGTTTATTTTTGGCTTTTGGAGATTGGGTCTCACATATAGCCCACTTGGTCTTGAACTCACAGCCTGTCTTCATCTCTTGAGTGCTGGGATTACAGATGCACCCTTGCAGCCAGCTCTATTCCAGTCTGTTTTAATATGAGTTGCCTAATTTAAAGTCTCCCCAGACCTGAGGCAGAGTGCGTGCCCACAGCCACAGGGTCTCCCCTGCTCCTCAGCACTGAAGTTCACAAGCCAGTGAGCAACACTGCTCAACCAGCACCCTGGTTATTCCTCATAGTTTAGCTAAAATTAATTTTGAAACTAATGTTGTGCTGTTAAGCTGAAACCATGCTGACATGCTTATAAAAGTTATATTCAAATTCGCTCTGCAGCAGTTTTAATTAGAAATATTAATTTGTTACATTTCTTTTCCCCGCCTGTAGCTTCAGTTTTACTTTGCGAGAAAAGACATCTAACAAAAGTATCACACTGAGCAGCGCTGCCCCATCCAGCCATTTGGAGACGGGGAGTCACGGTTTAGCCCTGGCTGGCCCGCACCTTGGTGTGCAGACCAGGCTGGCCTCCAGTGCACATTGAGCCGCCTCTTTCTGCCTCTCATGTGCTGGGACTTGGGGTGTGTACCACATTGCCTGGCTTGCCTTGACTTCTGAGACAGGTACCCCCAAAATCCAGTATCCATGATGAATGAGAGAAAGGGGGGGAGGCCATGACTGCTCCTAGGTGTGGTGGAGAACGTTTACCGTAGATAAAAGCCAGAGGCAGGAACAACTGGGAGAGTCCAGAGTGATGTGACCAGGCTGAGCTGGGCCATGTGAAGAGATGGGGAGTGAGGGGGAAGCAGGTGCAGCAGCCAGGAGGCCAAAGGTAAAAGGGGAGGTTACCAAAATGCCTGGATTATATAGGAAGAGCCTCTGGGGAAGGGCAACCCAGCCCCTAGGCTGAAGAGTTCAGGGCAGAGGGCAGGTGTGCCAGCCATACCCTGTAACAGGTAGGGACTGAGGGATGCTGGGAGAACCTGGCAGCCAGATCGGCTTTGATGAGTTAGACACCTCAGCTGCTTGTCCCGGGCTTGAAACTTAACACACACTTAATGCGCAATTGTCACGGCAGCTTTTCATTTTAATTTCCAGTGAGTAACAGATGAGAGGCCATTCCGTGTCTGATCTGACAGCGAGCAGCACTGACCTCCCAGCTAAGCAGGATGTTGGTCTTCCCCAGGAAGCAGAAGAGAAATCGCTATTCCCAAGTCTAGCATGTTTTAATTCTCCCCCATAGCCCTGAAATCCTTTCCAGTCCCACACACTTGAACTGTTGAGCCACGGTCATTAGGAGAAACACTAAGTGTGAAGGCTCGAGATGCTAAACTTTTGTTCACTGCGCACGT